ATAATAATAAAACATAAAATTATTATAAAATTAAAATATTTAGTGTGCAAAAGTAGAAAAGAAGAAAATATTGAAAGAAATTATGCTTTTGATTTTAAGTATTAAAGTTGAAAACACTTTATTTAATTCATATCCATATTATCAATAAGTGGCGGATTTGAAGGGGGGACGTAGACTTTTTTTATATAGTATATTGAAACATATTTGGACCTTCCCCCCTATGAAAATTAATTTTCAGTAACGTCATTGTTAGTACCTATGAATCTATGATACCAATTCGCCTCCTTCTTAAATAAGCTTCAGATCTACTACTATTATCAATAATAGCTATAATTATTGCAACATTCGTATTAATTTTATTTTACATATTTGTTATGAATTTGGAATTTTTAATTGTAGTATATTATTATGTACCTATGGAAGTTATGTCATTTTATATTTTATACAACGTCAATCTAAACGAACGTGATATTTTCTCTGTATTTTCCGCTTGCAATAAATTGTATAATATTTTCACTACACCTACATGTGTTGTCTCTGTCATCTTAGTGCAAAGTGTAACACAGAAAATTTGCGTTCAAAAAAATCGATTATTTAGTGTTGTTGTTTTCAAATTAAAGTAAATTGTACTGATAAAAAATCAAAAGAAAAAAATATTAATTAGATTATTTTGTAGGCTTTAATTCATATTTTAATTTTAAAGTAAGTAATAATAAAATATAATATTAACATACAACTCCAAGTGGTAAAATAATTTATTCAATTAATTTAACTAAAATATGCTAAAACATGATAAACTACAGATATAATAAAATGATTAACAATATTGATGTTCTTCTATTATGTAGAATACTATAAGCTATGCTTAATTTTGAATATGCTAATAAGTAATAAATCAATCCATTCTCGAGTTAAAATTAAAGACAAATGGATTTTGCTTAATACAAATTCGCAGCATTGAGCGTTATTATAGGATTGAGATGACACGTATATGGGTGTAACATATTTTAACCGAAACTGGAAGTGCGAAAAAATAACAGTATTAAGAGTTGTATGATTTATTAAAATATATTGGTAGATATAAATCGAATACATTATTTAATTATAATCCAAAATTTTTAGCTTGGAGAAATACTCATAACACCGACAATTTTAACTATAAGGTTGACGACTATTTGTGCATAATATTATAATCATTGATTATGTTATAGCGTTTAAATTATTAAAATGATAATTTTATAGTTTTATGATTGCCTTTAATTTTTTGTGAATTTGAAACTTCGCTTATGAGTAAATAATTTTACAGATGGCACTATACTATAGCTAAGTTATATATATATATTATATATATAATATATATATATATACATATTATAATCAATAGGATGGAACGCCTCCAATGCCACTGGCAAACTTACGTGGGAGTTAACGTCTCCAGAGTAAACATACTTTTTGGAAAGAACTGAGTTTAGTTGTATGTACATAAAATATTTAACAGTGCTAAAGTCCTCAAGAAAATTGTTTGAATCGTGATGAACATAGTAATTCTGAGTAAATTTCTTCACATATCTGAATTATAATATAATTTATTGTCTGTGTGTATATTTTTATTATATAGAATGATTCTTTTATAAAACAACACTTATTATTTCAGAATATATGAACGTTTTTTTAAAAATATTATTGTTACATAATAAAATTAATATTAAACTATAAAGATTTTTATGTAACGAAATAATCCAAAAAATATTCTGCTTTAGAATATAAATTTAAAAATAAATATTGCTTAAAAAAGTATAAAATTCAAAAAAATATAATGGTAAAAAAAATTTACTTCAACTGGAAATTATGTAAAAAAAAAAAATATTTTTAAAAATTTTATTTGTTTTTGAAATAAATGAGTGTTGTTTGATAAAAGAATTATCCAGTAACAATAATTATATTTACTAATTGAGTTTGGTATTTCATATACTCCTGATACATTTTAGTTCATGCGTCGATGTATGTTTTACAATATAAAATGGGTTTATTAGTATTTTTGTTGTATTCAATAAACTTCTAAAAAATTCTTTAGTACATTTTCAAAATTAGAAAGATTTAAAGTTTTATACTCTGAATAATTGCTCGTGTTATTCATATTTACAACGTAATATTATATCTAAGGAAAAAGTGTTATAAAACTTATTAATCAATGTTATGAAAATATTATAACAGTGTTAGTTATATTCATTTACTGCACATCAGTTACGTACTCAAAAATGAAGTATACTTAACATCTACTATTCTATTATACAGTTATGTGGTTACCAATTTGACAGTTTTTCATTTATTTAAAAAAAATGGAAATTAAAACTTGTTCAAAAAAACCAAGCCTACCTATTTTTCAATACCATTTAAATTTACAAATTATTTTATACCTAGTTAAAAATGTATAACATTTTTTGAAGTTAAGACTTAAAAACTGAATGCAAGGTTCATTTTATTATGTAATCTTGAATGATATTTTTATAGATATTTGAATTAAAACTTTAGGTACCAAAATTGAAATGTACTCAAACAAAGAAAAACAATTTTAATTATATTTATACAATTTCTATAAGTTCTCAAGACTTATTATTTTTACGAATATTACAATAAATTTTTATATTTTAATAATATAGGTACACGATGATATATTTAAATTATTTAAATTAGTTTTAAGTTATTTTAAGTTATGGTTTCCTTATAGATTATACTACCGTATTACTAATATTAAAGTGAATTATTATAATATAAATATAAATATATACAAAATATATTTAGTAATATAGGCTGACAGACAGCTCAGAATTATTATTTTTTTACAATTAAATGTTTATTATTGAATTCAAATTGATCACATCAATTGTGTAAATATAACTGAAGACGATAGGTAGACTCGATTCCTACTGTCCAGAAAATTGGTCAACCGTATCTATTTAACTTGTACATTTTGTACAGTTTATGAAAATTAAGCAAATTAATTTTTTCCTAAAAGAAATAACAATGGTACCTAAAAGTAAATCATTTAGATGCAGATTTGTACTTTAAATGTTAATTTTATTTTAAACTTAATTTTCGACAAAAGTTTTATTTGATATAAATAAAAGATTTTTATATTAAACATTCGAAACTGAATACATTTTTACGATTTTTAATTTTTATTTGAAGTAAATATTTACTAAAAAATTCAGCAAAACATTTTTATGTTATTTGTACTTATTTATAAACTAAAGAAGTAAAAACAAAAACATCCAACGTTCTAAATATAAACAATTATAATTTGTATTCAATACAATTTATTCTAAGAAATATTAATATAGTGAAATAAATAATGTACAATTTAATTTTAAACATTAATGAAAAATTATTTTTACAGCACAAAATCTTTATAAATGTGTTCAAATATTATATTATTATTTTGTTTTATGATTATATTATTATACTTAAAACTTACAATTTAACTGTATATTTTAATAATCAATATTACGATTGACGTTTATTATATTATTAATCAAAAAAGTTGATTTGAATACATTTTTTTTTTTTTTTGAAAACTAAAGGTGTCATTGTAACTTTTTAAATGAGTAAAAAGCTGCGAGCAAAGTGTTGGGAATTTGAGCTTTATAATTCAAATTTTTCCAAGCTACACTTAATTTATTATACTACGACGTTTACATGTTTCTTTGTTTTTCAAAAGTAAAATAAATTTAATTGAAGGTTGTTATTTTGTTTAAATATTCAACGAGCTAGAATTTCATATACATTTTAAAAGAGAAGGTACTTAAAATATTTTAATAGAATACTTATCACGTTATGGGTTTTTGCAACTTCGCATGCCTAATAAAAGTATTTATTTTTTAAAAGAATAAAAATGTGTTTACTGTGAAAAATATGAAATTTATTTGTTACTAAAGAACAAAATCACCCGATATTTTCTTATTAAATCAAAATGTTGACTTCTAAACACGTACGGTGCTCACGTTCATATAACATATAGAATATTGCTTAAGCTATTGGTGAAACAATAAATATATGTATAATAATAAATATATCTACAACACACTTGTGTCATGGTCATGTTTTTGTTTTTGTTTTTGTTTTTTTTTTTTTGATGTCTGATAATGAATCGATTTTGAAACAATCGTTCTTTATTCAGCACTATATCTATACATCAAAAAATATAAATAATAATGACTGCAGTAACTTATCGATAATAGTGTTATTACATGTACCTGGTACCTATATACCTATAAAAGAAAAAAGTTTAAACTCACGTTTTACACGTTTCAGTTACAGTATGCCGTCATATAGTCGTAATGTTATTCCTGGTCGTATTTTATATTTTATCCACTATGATAATATATACATGCATAATATATTATATTACGAAGTACGAATTGATCATTTCTTTTTTAGTATATCAGACCTTTCGATGTATATTATGTGTATAGTGTACCCGCGTATTTTATGCGACCGTGTTCGGTTCATCTAATAAAAATAAACATATTCTAAACTCATAAAATAGTGAAATAACCCAAAAACAAATGCATCACAAATATTATTACGTATTATACGTAATAGTATACAGAATGATTCACCGATTACACTCACCCCCATTATATTCAACAATAATAATATACATTTATTTGAAATTCTAAATTTTGGATTCTTAAGTTTGCAGTATTTCAAATAGGTGCTTAAACATTTTTTTTATGCCACAAATGAAAGGGTATGAGACGAGTATCTTGCGACGATATTAACTTGTTTTTTTTTTCTAAGCGTTTAAAATACTATACAGTCTTTGTATATTCAAGACAAACCAATCACATAACTGTTTGATTTTTAAACCAATTGTTGATGAAAAGTTAAATAAAACGACGATATTGTACACAGTGGGCGATCATCCTGTATATTATACGTGTGTTTTCTGAGAATTTTTTATGTTCATTGCTACATAATAATTTTACATATTCGTACAGGACCCGCGGTTCAACCGGGAAATCGATCACATGACGGGCTACACGACCAATTTGATATTGTGCGTGCCGATCTGCAACTACGACAACGAAGTGATCGGAGTAGCTCAGATAATCAACAAGACCGACGGCAGTCACTCGTTTACCGAACACGACGTCGAGGCAAGTAATAATACGTATTTAATATTATTATAATTAAATGCAAACGACGGGCCGCCAATATAACGGTATACTATAATATTAAATTAGGTATTATTGTAGTTGTTGTTGTTGTTATCATTGTCGTTGTACGGTTCGATTAATAATAATAATGAACAATATACCTCAAAACAATCGTCATTGCACATCATCACTATACAGTGTGATTATTTTTGAGATAAACACTTATTTTATCGGAACATTTTAACGTATTTGGTAATATATTTTTTTTTCTTGAATAATTCGGAGTTGTATCAAAATAAAATTTTTTCTTTACATAGTTACAAACTTATAAGTAACTATTTTAAATTCAGATGAGCGGATTGGCATGAGCGGAAAGGAGTACACCTTTCCTGATTTCCGTCTATGGCAGGTACACATCCTGTATAGGTATTTGGGTCCGGTCGGTTTGATTGATGATCGTACTCGTATGCTGTTATTTCATGTATTATTATTATTATGTTATTGTTTCACACGTTTGTTTAATTCCTATAACCACTGGTCTTTCTCTGGTATTCAAAAACTATAAACACGATAATAACAATACCAACGTTTACATTTGTACTGACTCGTTTGCGTGTGTAGATATTCCAGAGGTACCTGACGTTCTGCGCAATCGGAATACAAAATGCTCAACTGTTCGAAAAATCTATTCAGGAATTCCAGAGAAATCAAGTAAGTTATCAATATTTTATTCTTTATAATATGAAATATTGGGTGATCTATATTATTTCACACTCATTTGCATACAGTCAACGTATATAAAATATTATGTAATTTCAATAAATATAAGCTAAATATCTCAGGTTTTATATTTTGTTGGTATGATTATACTTTTATGTTTTATGAGTAATACGAATGATATCGATGAGTGGTCAAGCGTATTAAAAATCCGTAGAACACAAAAAAACAGTTTACATTTTTTTCCACTCTGCGACACTAAATGATAGGCTCATTTATGATTATAATATTATATACATATTAATAATAAACCATTGATTCGATACTTGATAATTTAATATCATGAAAGTAAAAAAATTCTACGTCAAAGTGTGAAATTACAAAATAGTGGCGGTAATAAAAAATAAAAAAAATTATTAAAACCAAAAAAATAAACCATTAGAGATAAAAATTTTATAATATATATTTTAAAAACAAATTTATTTCAATAAATGAGTGTTGTGTTTTGTATTGTGTTGTTAAACTGTTAACTAAAACACTCAATAACATACGAACTTACTTGGTTAAATTATATTACTATAAAACAATGTATTTATGTCGTTTGGTGTAACGGTTATTGGTTGTTGAACACTTTCACGTGTACAACTACGTTTGTCCTGTGAATAAATTGTTATGTAGATACATATAAACAAATACAAATATGATTATTATTCGTTCAATTGGGCTTTATGTGATTATTATGTGAATGAATACCTTACTTTTATTTACGAACACTACTGTAAAATATTTGAATCAATCAATTAATGAATAATTAATGGATTGTATTTATGTAATAAACATTTTAGGTGTAACAATGCAAGAAGAGCTTTCAACTAGATTAAACTAAAAATTGGTATGCAATCTTTCACTGATAAATGAAATAATAATTTAAATATAATTTTTTTTTTCATTAATTGAACTAAAATATTCAAAATTGAAGTAGTGATATACTTAATATATTATGTGTCGTCGAAACACTCGAAACTTAAAAAAAACATGGTATGCATACATTATAACCAATACAAACGCTATAGTAAAATTTTTAATTTCAATAACTGACGAGATAATTAAACAAAAATCACGAGAGAAAAAAATTAAACATATAATGCTAAATTATTGTACTAAAGTCAAGACCTCTAAAGAGGTAAGAAAACTTTTTTAATTGATGGGTATCAACTTTTTATGTGCATAATTTAATAGTTTGAAAAAATATTTTTTCTATTTATTATTGTGTTCTCATTTAAGTTTTTTCCTTTTTTTGACTGATAGTATACATTTTAATTCTAAAGTCGAATATTTTTAATTTATAAAAATTGAATTTCCAACAAGTAGTTAAAAAGTTAAAAGCATTTATCAACTTTTATATACTTAGAAATATTTGTAACTATTATTTGATCTTAAAAATTCTATATAATTTTCACACATAATATTACTAACTACTCACAATTAGTCATAATATAGTTACATTATTATTTTATTATACTAAAACCAACCAAAATAGTATAAATATTATATAAAAACATTACATACTCATATTATTTTTAGTATACAATTATGACTAAAAAAAGGTGTTTTTTTTTTTTTAAATTTTGTATAAAAATATTCTATCGGGTACGATAAATATGGTAATACGAAAATAAAATGCTTTTCTTTCTAACAAAAAAAAAGAAAAAATGTAATTCAATATTTAGGCTAAATCGATGGATGTGGGTAAAAAATAACTTACTTAATATTCTGTTTTGAGTATCTAATAACGAATATTCTACGAAAAGATTATGTATTTCTGCAATTTATCATTGCAACATTATGCATATTATATTAGTCGCCGCTTTAAGTTTTACAACCTTCGGCGTTTTTCCTTTGAAAATGAAACAGTTTCTTATCGCATTTTGTATTTTACATATTATTTTTTATTTCAGTTTAAATCAAAATTAACGATTTGGTTTTTACTGAACGTTTTGTTCCTAATGATATTCTTTACTATATTTTTTTGTAAAATGTAAATTTACACAATAAAGTACCTGGATTTTTGCATTATTAAAGAACAAATTAAAGTAAAATAAAATTTACTGGACATTTTCAGATTATTGTTTTTTTATTCACAAGAAAAATTATGAACCTTAAAATAAAATTCAAAATGCATTTTTATGTAATGTTCTTATATTCTCTACTTAAATGAATTTTTTATCTTTTAATATTTAATTTAAATTCCTACACTTCTAGGCAATCATAAACCTATTTTCTATCCATTTTCTTATTTATTTTTAATTCACATAAATTAAAAACAAAATTTATAATTATTTAATGTTTTCTTATTAGAATTTTACTATTAATAATGTCATAAAAATGTATATAAAAATTAAAGATGCATTTTTACGTAACAATCACTAATCTAAATATAATTCCGATGAGTAATACATAAGAATTAATATTATTGATTAATGACTTCTAAAAATAGTAATAAATTAACCTTGGTAAATATAATTATGGATTTTGTAATATTATTGGAATATCGAATCAGTAAAAAATTCATTAAAAGTTCATTATAGGTTTATAATTTATAAGCCTCTAGAATATGTGTTTTAAAATAAATAAATTATTATACGTAGCTTAAATTATTATTTGTACCTATACTCATTTTAAATAAACCAACCATTTAATTTTCTGAACGTCATTTTATAAGATACGTAAAGTTTCGGAAAGTATTTTAACGATCACGAACAAATTCTCTTATAAATCTCTCAACATCGAAGTAATTTCAATAGTTTTATAAACTTATAGCTTTAGGGACTTAGTGTTCAATGCCATTATTTTATGGGAATAATTTGATAAGTTAATTTTATTGATATAAATTGATCTCTTACGGCTTACGCTATAATTTTCCATTTTAAATTATATGTTAGTATAATATCATCATTAAATTACTTAAATAATAAAGATCAATTTGAATGGTAAATAAAAATAAATATTTTGTATAATAAAAGATACCCCAATATTTGATCATGAGTGAAACAAAGATGATCAATGCTATTTTATTGATTAGTAATGATTTAAAAAATTTTTCTAGATGTTACTCAGTTTGGCTAGAAGCATATTCGAAGAACAAAATAATCTTGATTGCCTAGTATCGAAAATCATGATCCAGGCCAGAGATCTGATCAAATGCGAACGTTGCGTTGTCTTCCTGTTGGACTTGGAATGTGAAGAAGCTGTACGTTTTTTTTTTTGGCAACGTTATTTTTCAATTTATATATGTGTGTGTATATGTGTGTGCGCAGTTGTGTGTGTACAGTTTATTTCATTCCTTTATAGAGCCATTTGGAACACTTTGGAGCCAAGCCAGGGAATTATTCGCTGGAAAAAAAAGCGTCTACCAAAAACGTAATAAGACTACGAACAAAAAAAAATAACAAATAAATATATAAGCAATAAGGGAAATAATAAATAATTTACTGAATAAAATTTAATATATTTTTTTCTATATTTTATAGAGCACCGACACGTTGGCCGGAGAGGTCCCTGTTACTCAAGAACAGCAAAAGGTTAGTTTATTATTATATCGCAATAGCCAATATAATCTATTGAATAGATGCATTATAATTATCTATATTGTTTTATTACTATTGATTGAAATATTCAATCATCTATACCTGAGTTGTTTCTACTATAAATATTTTTAAGGACATCAATTTCACTACGGTTTTCGAATTGGGTTCGGAACTCGGAGTGAAGAAAATCAATAAAAACGTCAAACCATCTAAACTTCTTCAGATAGCGCAAGAAGTAGCCAGCTCTACTCAGGTAATGCAGTAATCGAGTAAAATTATACGTAGTTACGTTGATAATAATTATTACGTTTACCCGTCGCTTTGGCATACACAGTTATTGAATATAGCGGACGTACAAGTTTGGTCCGCCTCGTTAAACCGACAACCGAGTATGGATAGCGATGACGGATGCACGGATCAAGTACCCATCAAGTCCATACTATGCATGCCGATATTAAATGGCAAAAAAGATGTGATCGGCGTGGCGCAATTGATAAATAAGGTGTGTACGTGCGTGCGTATAAATTGTCCCAAAAACGTTCAATGACTGTACGTTTTCAATCTTAACAACTGTCTCCGTTGTTATTTTCTTTTTAGACAATTTAAACTTATACCTTAGATTAAATCATATTGTAATAGAGATAAAATAATTAAAATAAATAGGCATCTACAATCCATTCAACATAATATTGAAATAAAATATATTACAATTTAAACTACACCGAAACGTCCGAAACAAATACTATTTATTTTTATATTTGATAAATTATGATATGTTTTGATTTCAAAACATTGTTGTTAGCTATTATTGATTTTATAATAATAATATAAGTTTTATTTCTTATTACTTAAAATCCAATTAATATTTTACAAATCGCCATAGTAAAATAACCGTATAGTGTTTTGTTTTATTCAAAAGTCAAGTATAATAATATATCGAATCATATTTACGTGCATAACATACATTTGACAACATTACAAACCCAAAAGTTTCATATCATACTACTATTTGATTGAAACATGCCAAATTTAAAAAAAAAAAATGAATCAAAAACATAATATACATTCTTGGTACAAAACTTTCCTGAATATATAAAATTAATAATAAAATAGCATACATTGTGTATCATAATATAATATGGTATGTTTAACATTATTTTTATAATATATCTTCAATATTGTGAACACACTATGGTGTATTATGGTGTATGGAGATTAATGTACACAAACGCTACATTTATTTATTTTCTCGTTATTGTTGTTGTTGTTTTTTTTTTTTTTTTTTAATTTAAAATTGAAAAATTTTTCTATGATAATGTGTCTATGCTATAGTGTAACGATATTCGTGGTTTTATTTCGTATGTAGGAAACCGGATTTCCGTTTACCGACTGTGACGTGACGACATTCGAAGCTTTTGCCATATTCTGCGGTCTGGGAATTCATAACACGCAGATGTACGAGAGCGCATGTGAGTATCATCGACTTGGAGCCACGATATTCCTAAACAGCTGCACTACTTATAAATTTTATTCATGTTTTAGGTAAACTAATGGCCAAACAAAAAGTCGCGCTTGAATGTTTGTCGTACCATGCGACCGCGTCTATAGACGATACCATAAAATTAGCACAAGACAAAATTCCTTCAGCTGAGACGTACAACTTGTACAGGTACCTAATTTGTTGATTATTTTTTTCAAACTTGGTTAATCCGACGAAACAAAATACAGTAAAACCTCTCTATAACGGAATCGTTTGGGACCAATATTTTTTCCGTTATAAAGAGTTTTCCGTCATAGAGAGGTAGAAAATTATATATTATTTACACCGGGACTATTGACATTTTCCGTTATAAGGAGGATTCCGTTTAATAGAGGATCCGTTATAGAGAGGTTTTACTGTACATCCGTTAATATGATAGATACATTAATTATGCATACGAGTATTCTTCTTTAATTTCAAATATTTGTTTTAAATTCTGAACAATTTTTTGAAATTACATAATTTTTTTTTTTGTGTGTGATTGCAACAGCTTTGGAAACAGAATAATGGTTAAATCGAAACAATGGCATGCCGAAGATAGATTTTGGTAGCAAATTGGAACTAGTTTGTACTTAAAGGGTCAACATTCATAAATTCCTTTTCCACATATACACTTAATTTTATTATCCAGAAAAACAAAAATTACGAAAAAACGGGAATATTTTTGTGATACTTGTTTTTGACAAAATTTATTTGGTTATTTTGTTCTAATTTAAATATTCTAATAATCGTAGACACTTGGAATTTTCATAAAACATGTATGCAAGTAATTTCTAGACATACAAAAATTAAAAAATATCTTGACTCTTTTGAGATTCGAAGTTTTTGAATTTTTTAGTTGTTTTCAACTTATACATGATGCACTATTTGTAAGTGAATAAAAAGCTTGAAATTGTATAACAAGATTTCTTACAACCATTTCTTAGGTACATTAATCAAAAATATAAACCTGTTTTTTTTTTATGCATAAGAATGTCAATTTTAACTATATTTATCAAAATCACAAAGATTTATGAACTATTTTATATTCATTAAATTTTTAATTTTTATTACCAAGGTTTCAAAATTGAATACAAGGTTTCTCGTAAATTTACCTAAAATATTATTAAAAAAAGTTCAGCGTAAAGCAATGTTAATTTTTTATAAGAATTTGAATTTAAAATTATGAGGTGACAGATGATCTTTTCTCAGATTTATTTTTTATTGTATACCTACAATAGCTTATTATTGAATTCAATTTAAAATATTCACAACAGCCACCTACTCAATTATACTCAATCTACTATACGGTAGAGTAACTACTATGTTTTTTTTCTTTTAATTATTAATAATGATTAATCTGTTTGTAAATACAGTAAAACCTCTCTATAACGGATCCTCTATTAAACGGAATCCTCCTTATAACGGAAAATGTCAATAGTCCCGGTGTAAATAATATATAATTTTCTACCTCTCTATGACGGAAAACTCTTTATAACGGAAAAAATATTGGTCCCAAACGATTCCGTTATAGAGAGGTTTTACTGTACATGTATTATACGACATACTAATTATTGCTATAGTTCAATTAATGTTTTGAAATTTTATACAGATATTAATAATAAATTTAATATAATTTTATTTATTGTAAGTAAAAGTAACAATAAATTAATATAACATAATTCAAATTTAAATTCAATAATAATAAATTAATTTTAATTGAGTATTGTTGTCTGCTATGTTTAGCAAAACTTTTTTATTATTTTTAATGATAATACTTGAGTACCAATTAAATTTCTCTGAACGATGTTTATTATAATTCATACTTCTGTGAACAACTTTGAATTAACAATATTTTATATTGTAGGAATAATAGGAATTCTATATAACACCTAGTGATTAATAAAGAGTGTATAATATATTTTTTTTACATAAATTTCTTAAATATTTTGTATAATTACTAGGTATTTCATAAAATGACAAACAACAAATTGGCAATCTGTAAAATAGAGAAATCAATAAGAAAAATCTAAAAAAAAATCAATTTCCTTTTATTAGAATACAAAAAATATTTATTATTAAGTACTAATTTAATATAACGGAACATAATGCATAAAATTGAAACAAAAAAAAAATTAATTTGTAAATTGTATGGGTAGTACACAGTTATTAATTAGTATTACTATTATATTATTTTAGAAAATACAAAAATCTATGTAGAACGTAGGCACTTATAAGAAAAAAATACAATACACTTTTAATCATATTATATTAACTGATAATATGGATTTAATACATTACCTATTCTTAAACATTGTTTGGTATTTTATATAATGCTTAGGTAATTTAAACAATTTTATAGATTTCCGGCTGTAGGTAGTTGGTATTATATAGAGTTCCTAGACATTTCATAAAATATTAATATTATACGCATTGCCGCTAACGTAATATATAACATTATATAAATATACATACAATTTTCAACTTAGAAACAGTTTCATTGTATAGAATTTTTTTAAATATTCAAAATACAAAATAAAACTATAAGTTAAATAAACTAGTAAACATTATACAAGTAAATTAATATGTTTTAATATTTTAACTCTGTCTCTAACAAGTATAGAATAGGACATATTGTATTCATAATTATTTAATTTGAATAGCGAATGAGTAGTATAAATACTTAAATATACATAATATTTGATTAAAACATTTTAATTTAAAATTATCCCTCTTATCGAAAGACTGTTATTATTAATATTAAATTACTTTTTATTTCAGTTTTAAATTCATAGACTTTGATTTGTCAGACGACGATACGTGTAAAGCAACAATCCGTATGTTCCTGCAGTGCAATCTAGTGCAACAATTTCAAATTCCATATCATGTTCGTACAGTACATTATAGTATGGTATTAATCCACTAGTCAGAACACTCAACAGTATTATATTGATGATATTATATTAATTCGTTATACTCGAAATAATATATTATTGGATAATGATTCTGTTTAGTATTAATGAAACAAAAAATATTTTATTCCAAAACTTTATTTGACAAATAATTGCCGTTAACTAAACATAGGTATTACTTAATGTTTTGACATTTGTATTAGGTACCTATATTCTATTTTCAGGTCCTTTGTAAATGGGTGTTGAGTGTGAGGAAAAATTACCGACCTGTAAAATATCACAACTGGAGACATGCGTTAAACGTGGCACAGACTATGTTTGCTATGTTAAAAACCGGAAAAATGGAAAGGTTCATGAGCGACTTGGAAGTAAGCATTTACCGTTTATAGTAAAACATGAAATATAATTTATTGTAATATACCGCCAATAGACTGTGGTAGAAAAATAAATCTTATCTACCGTTATTTATTAGTAAATAAATAAAAAGTATAATAACAGGTAGTTAATTTATTTGGCTGGAATGACTTGTCCACTGTATATTTTAGTTCCATGATTAGTAGAAGTAAATACAAATAATGTTAATAATTTATTAAAGAGAATTTTCGTTTCTAATTTTATCATCTGTATGTTTTCAAATAATTGTATATTCTAAGTTTTTAGTTGTAAACATTTAGAGTGATTATTTATAGGTAATTAAATAAAATAATACTTTACTATATTTAGTTATTGCTACTTGTGTGAGTGTGTGGCTTCTTTTATTTACACGCACAAAATTTAATCGATAATCAAATTAATCACATATTCTCTCCAACATATCTGTTGTAAATTGTAATTGATTTCACTGATTGTTTAACTCCTCTCTCTCTGTAGTTTAGGTCGTTCATAGTATTAATTGGGAATAGTGGTGAATATTCATTGTGCTTAGTATTTTTAATATATCTTTTTTGAAATAAGAAGTTATATGCTGTAAGATTCAAGTAATCAAGGAGAAGGCTAGATGAAGGGATTAGATGAGTCAGATAAAATAACCATGTTTTTCATTAGAGGATACCTATAGAAAATATGTACTTTTTTTTCGTTAACAAACTGTATAATCATGCTTTTGATTTGATTAAATGTTTAGATTTTGGGATTGCTAGTGGCGTGTTTATGTCACGATCTCGATCACCGAGGCACGAACAATGCTTTTCAGACGAAAACTGAATCACCGTTAGCAATTCTTTATACGACCAGTACAATGGAACACCATCACTTTGATCAATGTGTAATGATCTTAAACAGCGATGGCAATAATATATTTCAAGCTTTGTCACCGGAAGATTATCGTTGTGTTATGAAACTAGTAGAAAACTCAATTCTATCGACAGATTTGGCCATGTATTTTAAAAAGAAAAACAGATTTATGGAGGTCGTTGAAAATGGTGAATTCGATTGGCAAAGCGAGGAGAAAAAAGCTTGTGAGTGGATTTTTCAAATATAATTTTTATTATTATTTAATTTTTATACCAGCATATTAATGAATTATCTAGCAACATTCAAAATTGGAATTTTTCGTTTATTATTATGCGCAGATTTTCAATTTTATTTTTTTATTTTTGTTATTTAATCAAATTGTGTCATATGCGTAGGTGCCTACGGAATTTACGATGTATGACCGAAACGCCTATAATATTATTATTATTTTTTAGTGTTGTGTGGTATTTTAATGACTGCATGCGATGTTAGTGCAATTGCCAAACCTTGGGAAGTTCAACACAAAATGGCTAAGCTCGTGGCTGATGAATTTTTTGACCAAGGCGATTTGGAAAAATTACAACTTAATCAACAACCGATGGTAAACTTAATTATTATTGAATAAAATATAAAATAAAAAAAAAATATTTAACTCGACTATCTTGGACAGGCTATGATGGATAGAGAAAAAAAAGATGAACTTCCTCAGATGCAAGTTGAATTCATCGATGTCATTTGTTTGCCACTGTATAAAGTAATATTGTTGTTTATAACAAGTTTGATATTATTATTTTAAATAATAAATCATTTCATTTTTTGTAGGTTCTATGTGACACTTTTCCGTGGATCACGCCATTGTACGAAGGTACACTAGAAAATCGAAAACACTGGAAAGATTTAGCAGAAAAAGTCGAAATGGGCTTGACGTGGATTGACCACGATAAAATTGAAATTCCTGTTGAAGAATTTTTTAGTAAGTTATTTAAGATTGTTTAGATCACTGTATTAACTGGATTATATATTTGTAGCTCACAAAAGCACGAAAGACATAGAGTTCACAGTTACTACACTGAATACTACACAAAATTCCACGAAGAAAAGCAATACAAAAGTTAGTAAGAAACATGGTAAACATACCTAATTAAGGTACCTATAATTTTTTTTCCTCGAATTTCTGTTCATATTATTAATAAGGGAAGTTTCGAAATTCTATCAGAAGTATTGGTTAGTTATTGCCCTAAGTTTATTACATAAATTGTTATAGTGTAAAACATGTAAAAAATATATAATAATTATTAACTTAGTATAATTAATCATAAATAATTTATGATAATACATTTTTATTTTTATTATATTATGATAATTTATATTAGACATTTGTTCAATTTATATTAAATAATTTGTCTTATTTTTGTATACAAATTGCAATATTTTATAGAAGATGCATAATATATTTAAAATATATCTTTAAAAAATAGAACGAATTTCCTTTAATATATTTAATTAAGTTGGCTTAAGAATGTAAATTGACTTAAATATATTATTTATTGTTAGAGTTACTTAAAGGTATTCAAGTAAAGTATATATTTATATTTTTTTTTTTTAATTAACTTTAAACATAGGTAGGCAATAATAGCATTATTTATAAAAAAAATTGTCGTTCTTCTAAATTCATAAATTAGAAAGCTAAAATATTTATAACATATGAAATTATTATTATTTATTTGTTAAAAATTTAAATTCGATGTATATTTTAATGTTAAGTAGTATATTTATAGTATAATATATTAATGTATTAATGTAACATCCGTTAAATTAGATTATTACAAGAATTTATGTTTAATAATTTGTATCATATACCATGGAAGAATCTATTTTCAAGAATTGAAGAATCGTGTTCAAATTTGAATAAAATAAAAATCGGAACTAAGAATATTCAAATGAAAATTGAGAGATCTACTGTTGTGATTAGAATTGGTTTGTCTGAATATTTAATTTCAACTATGGTTAAGCAGCAAATTATGCACTATATAATTAGTTTTAGCACCAATTAATATGTACACGTTTTAAATTTCCTGTATATAGCAAAGTATTTTAAAAGTTATTTTTATCAAATTATTTATCTTACAGAAAGTAAATATTTTTTTATTTATATTTAATTAACTTTATAGCACTTAAAACTAACAAATTTTCATGAAAATAATACTCAAAATATGATCTTATTAAGTATTAATATATACTCCAAATGTCCATAATTTGATTTTAATAAAAAATTTTCTGAAACTATTTCATAAAATTTGAATTATTTTATTTTTAAATGAGCCTTAAATGCTAAGTTATAGGCAACTAGTTATACACTTTGACATAAAACACGTTTTCATTTTCACTGACATTGAAGTTTTTATTAATTTTTCATATCGTTCAAGTATGGACTTATGTGGCATATAAAATCATACCAGATGATAATAATATTATTATTTGTTTTGTTTGTTGTTATATAAACTTGTTTCTGTGAAATACGATTGTCGTAATTTTATTATACTATAATGTAGGCTTAAATTGTATAATCAATGTATAAATATAGTTTTATATTCACATAAGTAAATAAGCAATTTCCAATATATTAATTTAGAATCGAAACTTTCCTTTAGTCAATACTTCTTTAGAATATAATTTTATCGTATGATAATATTATAATATATATCTTCTCTTGGTTTTGAATTTCACTCAATTGTTACATTTTCTAACCACACATTATTTAGAAAACTTTATTATTTTAACGCTGAATAAGATTGGCCATCTCACGTTACACATTATCTTTATCTGTACCTACTTCGATAATACTCACTACTGTTTATGTCATTAAAATATATTATGTCTTGTGGCGTATTCGAAAAAAATATGATTAACGATTAGACATTCAGGTTACACTTAACAACACGTTATGTAATTGCTTTTGCTAACGGACACCAAACGTTCCCTAATTTAAAAGATACTTACTATATTTTTTGTATTCGTCTTACAAACATGTTTTTACGTTCATCAGAATAAATTTAGTTCGGGTAGTTTTCATTGTTTGCATATTATCATACAAAACACTAAGAACGAACATTAGCAGTGATTAGTCATTGTGGTTTTCGGATTTTTATAATTTTTAAACGACCATAATAACTTGATTATCAAATTGAAATTGACCAAACAGAATGGACTTAATGTAAATTACAACAATACGCATTTGTAAGACTGAATAGTTAATGGGTGTAGGATACATCACATGCTCATAGTCCAAAAATCAAATGTTAAAAATTAAAATGTTATCACATAAAACAGTATCGCATACCCGACGTTTCCTTTTTGGTATAGTGAACATCAAATGGTTTCTTATTAATACAATTAGTTCCTTTCAATAGTCTAAATAATTGTTGGTGTCTATATTATTCTATAATTTTATTCAATAATTTATGATGATATATACGTGAAAGACTACGTCTTGTAATAAGTAACTTTTAATAAATAATATTTAAATAAATCTGATTCAAATTTTGTATTGAATTAAATCTTGTTAAAATTTTAATTTTATACGGGTCGTTGATATAACTACTATAATAATATTAACTAACTCGAATACGCCTCAATTTGTGTTGAATATTTTTTTGTTTATTAAAATATTTTAAATAGGTACCATATTTCTATAATAAATACTGTGTATATATTATCACTCGTAACTATTTATACTAATTCAGGTACATATTTACTGCACCACCACTGCCACTGTGAAACAGAGTGATTCACTAAGCATACTCACCATATTTTTCTACTTCAATAATGCAGTTATTCAAAATCAAATTTTTGGAATTTTTAAATATGCTAAAAATTTTATTTTCATATTATTTAGATTTTTTAGTACTTCCTGCTAAAGGAGTTCCTAATACCCTGTGGTGTATAAACTTCTGTTTCTCGTGTAACTCCTTTTTCTACTGTACATTATTTAGTGGGAAATTTATCTTAACATTTTTTTTTACGTAACAAAATATAAATGTAGTTTTCGAATTATTTAATTTTGTGTAGGTAGTAAGGATAATAGATCCATGATAACAGTTTTGAAATATAACGAAGTTATGGTGAATTTAAAGTTTTAATAAATAGTATTTATTAATCAATATTTATAATTTTTTTTTTTTTTAATAAATAAATACTAGATCCAATACTATATACACTTACTTACTATTTTTAAGAATTTTTATACGTAGTATAAACATTTTAATAACTGGAAAAATTATCATTCTAATTCTGCATTAGGTATATCAACATTAAAAAAAATTTCCTGTAGATAATCTACAATAAAAATAAAGGAGTATTCTCATTTCAAAAATAGAAGTTTGTTCCATCACTGGAAAAAATCCTTTTGAATTTAAAATATGATCTTAAGTACTATTGAAAAAAAAATTGAATAAATTTATTGTTAAATGGAAAAAATGGGGTTGATCATGCTTAGTGAATGACTATGAGCATATTATGACAATATTATCATCATTGTGGCGTCGTAGTAGACGGCAGTACGCCCAAACTCATCGAAACCGTTTTTATTGTTTTTGTTGTTGCCACGCCGCTCGCAGAACCTCGACCTCAACCTGGACACTTCCTCGGTGTTACACCGGAACGGTGCCAAATTCTCCAGTTTCCGAAAAAAGCCCACGTCCAGCCGGTCGTTCCGGAACCGAGTCAGCAGGTCACTGTACAATAGCACGGCTAGCAGCAGTGTGCCCGCCTCCATGACTTCCGACTCTGTGAAACCGTCCGACTCCGCGACTACCACTGATCAACATAACATGATCAGTTCAACGTCGTTGCCGGTGTTCACGTCACCGGTGTCCACGCCGGGCTACAGTAGCAAGCATCCTACCCAAACGCCGTCGATGTCGGCCACGCCCGTGAAAAACAAAAGCAAATATTGCCGAATTCTGTGATAAACGTCATTTTTTCAATTTTGTGTTTTTGGTTTTTTATTGAATCTTCTGTCGTCCTATATAGCTGTAGTGTAGACTTGACGTGTAGTGTAGGAAAGGAATAGGCCGTTACCTACTTTCGACGATATTTGCGTGAGGGTTGAAAATTGGAACCTGAAACTGAAACCGGGATCCTTGTTCAAATAGATATTATAATTATATTTTTAAAGTAATTAAAACTATGTCCGTATCAAAGTTTGTTTGGTTGTTTTTTTTTTTTTTTTTTTTTTTTTTTTTTTTTTTTTTTTTTTGATTCATGTATATAGTATATTGTAACCGTTAAAAATCGATACTATAGTTTAAATGAAATTTATGATTCATTATGACCGATTCCGATGTTTCATTTCTACTAATAATCAAATTGAAACCGATAAAACCATCAAAGTTCCAATACATGAATTTGATATTCTGATACCCGTTATTTTAAAAAACCAAAAACGGATGGTAAAAACCGCGAGATGATCAAATCGTTAATCGATATCCGATCAAACTGTAAATATTACATAATACATATGTTAATTAGCATTGATCATGATTTATTATCGTCATGTGATTGTGTATAATATGTACTTGAATTATTTTTTTCATAAAATATCAGTTTATGTATCGACTTTCAGTCAACCAGCCTAAATGTATTTAGTGGCGTTCAACTTTGAAGAACAACGTAAAGGGGAGGTTCTATTTAAACCAATTCGCGTTTAATTCCAAATTTTGTTTTTCCTACTTTAAATTATATTTTCAAGAAGAGTTGATACGTATAAATATTTTTAAATGCATAAGTTGTGACGATATTCTCTGTATAGCCAACGACTGATAAATGATAACCGTATCACATAAACTGTCTTCAAAATTTTCAAATGTTATTGTAATAGACAATAATATAAGAATTGCATTTAACTGTATACATTTTAAATGTGAGGTTTTTAACCGTGGAGAGGATTTGGATAGTTTATATAATATTGGATTTTACAACTAAATTTTTACACTCAGAACAAAATTTATGACTACATCATAAGATACACATAATAATATCAATTTATTATATGTTCTTAACTATAATAGTACTAAATCGTGTACGCGTGTATTTATAATATTTATAGTATATTATTTTTTTAATCGTATCATATTTACGAAATCTTGTACACATTTGCCATTCTTCACACTACACGCCATGTCATCTCTAAAAACGTTAACATATTTTTCTCCTAAAATTAGTTATTATTATTGTTACACAGACCTTCGTTTTCGTTGTCGTCTAAAAAAAATATGGACTGTTTTGTATAAGAGTATATAGTAATATAGTTAAAAAGTATTCTAAATTATAATTATGATAATTATTTATTATTAATAATTTATCGGAAATGTTTAAATCAAAATATTATAAAAGATAATTTATTTGAAGAAATTGTGTTTTGATCCGGTCAATCATCGATATAGTATTGATTAAATTTCCAATAAGTTTTTATTATTCCGACTGGAACGAATGAAATTTGCTCGAACGAAACAATTGCATTTAGAAGGACAATTAATTTGAATGGGCTACTGAATCAAAATAGTAACAATGTTAAAATCTAGTGATATTTAATAGTTTTATCTGTTTAACCCAGTCATAATTTATAATAGAGAGAATAGATCAGCAAAAATAAAAAAATAAAACAAATAATATAACAACGACTATCGTTGTTATATTACATTTTTTAATTGTTTAAATTATAAGACAACAACTATAATTTTTGGTTTGGTCACAGAATTTGAAACTAAATGTACCTACTAATAATAAGTCAACATTAAAAATTAATCAATTTTTATATAAAAGTTTACAAATTAATTAAGTAATATTACTTAGAAAAATATCAAACACAAAATATACTCACTGGTATAACACATTTTTACAAAAACAATATTTCAATTCTTGATTCTATTCTATCATATTATATTCATTAATAATAATTAATATTTATCTCAAATCTATTTTGTAAATAATTCTCTTTTAATTTTTAATAAATAATAATATTAGAATATGTGTTTAATAAAATATTTCCAATCAACAAAAGTAATTCATTATAAAGAAAAACACACGAATACCATTTAATCGTTCTTAAATTTTCGCAATATCGTTCGTCAAATCGTGACCCAGTATGTATGGTTAGGATAAATAACTGTATTGAATCAAATATTTTCCACACAAATGGATATTTTTAGTGTAAAACAAAATTAGTTATTTATACAAATTATTTTACATAAATCGGGCATTATCTATTTACTATGTTATGAGTAATATTATATTTACATCACAATGGCAATTTGTTGTTTGAAAAGTATTCATTGTCAATCATTGTTGGAATCATTAAGTCAATGATTTTTTCCATTTATTTCAAGGCGTATTCCAAAATCATAATAGTAATCACAATATGTCTAAATTTTACTTGATTGCAATAATCTAGTTATTATTATTATTATTATTATGTTAGACCCAAAGTTAAGTATATAATATTTTAATAATAATAATAATAATAATAATAATAATTATACAAATAATAAGTTGAATAATGTGATATTAATTAGTTTTTACTATGTAGTTTTAGCATTTTAAATTTTAATACTTCCTTGTTGTATTGTATATATTATTTATTTATGTCTTATTATTGAATAAAATTGTTATTATTTATTACTACTTTGAAAAATCATTTTTATTGAATTAAATATGTAGTTAGTAGTGACTTATGTGTAAACACTGTAAACCAATGTTTTAATTTTTTATTAAAACATTTTACTTAATTTCAATGAACAAAATTGAATATAATAATTTCTAAGTTACTGTTTATATAATTCGATCTGTATACTTGTAGCAATTGTACATATTTAAAAATAATACTTTGAATATTTTACGGTTAAATGGTCAGTAAAAAATTGGATCTAGTTGTTATTTTGAAGGGAAAGGGAGATCAGAGTAAAAAATTTCTATTATGCTTCTAAGAATTAAAAAAAAAAAAATCAAAGACAAATTTAAAGAAAACTGGAATTTCTCCGAAAACCCAGTTTTTGATAAAATCTTTTTTTTCTTAATGCAACTTAAAAACTAATAACCGTGAGTACTTGAAATTTTCACCAAATGTTTATCTTATCGTTTTATATACCTACATGATTAAAAAAAAATCTTTTACTTGGCCAAATAGTTTAAACATAGAATTTAACGTTCCCTATCAATTGCTATTATAACTATATTCTACAAAATTTATCAAAATCACGAAAGTTTGTAAATTATTTCGTATCTGACAATTTATAAAATTTAAAATTTTTAAAATTAAAAATTGAAAATGTCATACAAAGGTTGCTTATATATGTTCATATTGAAACTAATAAAGTTGAAAAATGTATGAGCCTTAGGGTTCCGTTGCTCCGTGGGCACATATTTATATATATAAATTAAATTCAAATTATTATTAAATTTATTTATTTTTTTGTAATTAGTTGACAGTGTTATTGACAATTTGATGAATATGACGGAATTGAACAACATTTAAATGAAATATTATCGTCATTAGAAAACTATTTTCCAGACAATAAAGATATAGAATTTATTCAACGATAAAATTGAGTTAAAAATCCATTTTTAACCAACCACACGCCTGAAAACTTATCTATGTCAAAGTATGAAAAATGTATTGAAATTACCATCAATTCATCTTTATAAGCTTTATTTAATAAATAATCATTAACAGATTTTTGGTGGTGTTATTATTACACTACTAGCTATTGTGCGTAAGAAAATCAAACAATACAGAAGTACAATTGTATTTGAATCAATTTTTCGCCAGTATAAGACACCGTATCGGATAATATTGGTAATATTATAAAATTATGCAAGTGCATTAGAAAATAAAGGTGACAATTTTATTAATATGGTATTGGAAAACAGCATGGCGAAATTAGATAGTAATTATTTTATACCGATGCATAATATTGATATTATCGTATATTATGCAAATATCTCATATGTTTCATATTATATAGAAATTAGCAGACGTGGCATTAAGTACCATTATTATTTTTGCTAAACGCGTTTTCGTGTATCTGCGTGCGCGGGATATCTGGATATGTAACGAAGAATACTGCGCACATCATTAGGATTGACCATTCGCTACGGAATTTTTAGATGATTAGACATTTTTCTGGCCAGCCGAAAATTATGTGGAAATATCAGCTGTACATACTGCGATTCTCTGACAGCAGCGGTACCCAATGCTTCAAATGCAAGAACGATGTTTTCTAACTCGCCGACACCCCCGTCGAAGACGTACGGTACTCCAACATTTATTAGCACATTGAAAAAGATTCCTATCTGAGATTCTTAGCTGGCTGCCGGAGATAGAGTTTACTACCATTGACGCGTCATCGAGGTGATACTGGAAGGCCTGCGGCCCTCGAGTAATTTAATCAGCTGACAATGAAAACGAGAAGAAAGATTATAATTAATGTTAATGTTTACAAAAAAAAAAAAAAAATAAATAAAATAAAGCCATCTAATGAAGGATTCAGGCAAGTCAAGCTCTTACCTGGTTACAGCGACTTGTGGGAAAGTATATTAGCGGATCTGGATAACAACGGAACTTCAAAAGTTTGTTAACTTAAGTCTCTAGATAAAAAAAAAGTTAACTCCTCAGAAAACGATAAAATAGGTGACGATGTTATCAAGTTATTGAAAAAAGCATTAAACATAAAGGCATATGACGCATACAACCGTTGTTTAAAATATTATACAATATTGTCAATATAGACTTAATATATAAACTGCCATTGAAGTTATTTGAACAACGTGAATAAATATAATAGTTTATTTGCATACATATAAAAAAAAAAAAAAAACGGTTGCTATTATATCGTGTGCAACGATCGTGTTTTTATAAGTCGTATTATAAATCCTATTATAAGTTCAAAACTCAAGTTATTATATCATGAATTGTTAATCAACATTAAATTTTATGCAACTTTCTCGCGGAGGGTTAAACATTCGAAACATTTAAAATAATCAAATTACGGGAAAAACAAAAAATAAACCTACAGCATAGTTACGTTTCAGATTATTCATGTTCAGCCTTTGAAAATGATTTTATGTTAATGAGTGAAGTCAAAAACTTATTTCATGTATTGTAAATTTGGATGAAACCAAAATAAAAGGTCAGCAATCGACTAAACGTAGATTGAATATTACTGTACAACATATAAC